AGTTGATGAATTAGATTAGGTTGGCTGGGGTGAAAATTGGGTGAGAATTAGTGATTAATAAAATCTGATTATAGTTAGTAAATTGTGTTTTAATTTTTTAAAGGAGGGTAAAATTGACATTTGACTAGTTTTTTTTTACTAAAAGAGGAAAGAAAATAGAAAGTTGCAAATAATTTTTAGCGGACTAAAATAGCAAAAGTTGCAAATAAAAATTAACGGAGGGAGTACTTTATTTCTTTATAAGTTTGTGAAGCTAAATTGGGTGATCTTTATCTAAATCTTGTTAATTACCTTCTCTAAATCTTCTTAATTACCTTTGTTAATACAAAACTTAATATACTAGTGTCGTATATAACAATGCAGAAATTCAAAACGCATCTACTAATTAAAAACGATGAATTATACTACATAATATATAATTAATCACTACTCCCAATTACCTGGACTACATTGCAATATTAAGTGGGGCAAATTTTCCTCAAAATATTCTAGCTAGATATCGTCTAAATTACAAATTCTTGCATAACTTAGTAGACAAAAGAATCAGTTGCACAGTTGTAGCTACATCTCACTATAGTCGTGTAAGAATGATTTTTCTTTCTTCCCCATAAGGATTTCAGCCGGTTCTACCAAGAGTACTGTGAAAACTGTCAAGCACAGTACTACACGGGAAATTCCCTATTTCTCGTAGTGAGAAACGAAATTTGTTTCTCATGGAGATATTTTCGTGAATAAATCAACAAGTTTTCATTATACTACATTTTTTGTCATTTGGAGCCATATCAAGTAACTGTACAACGCTTTCTGCCCTTCAGAGAGGCCATTACCATTGCAAGTTGATGGGAAGATCTAGAAGCAACTCAACTTGTCGAATTGAATAGCTCGTTGTTTCTCTTGGTGTTTTAACCGAGCTGCAACAGAGTCTGGGTCAAGGCCTTGCGTTGTCTGTAGTTCCTGCTGTTCAGCTCTCACCTCTTGCAGTAATGCATCAACTTCTCTCACGAAATCAACCCTCAGAAGAACCTCGTTGGTCTCCAATGGAGGATGTAATGGACCTTGATGCTGTACACAGTCTTATTTATTGGGAGTATATTAGACAATTAGTGGTACGATGTACGTACTAGTTATAATATGGTCATATAGTCATAACTCATTACTCGTACGAAGTAAGTGTAAGACTCATAACTCATAGTTACCCTGTCCTCCTTGTGGACTATTGTTTGGGGGTCAAAGAAAGTGGAATTAAATAAGAGAGTTGCAAAATTAAAGTAAACTACTTGTCCAAAAAAGTTAAAGGGATATACAAACAGCGGCGGAGCCAGAAATTTCAAACCCGGGAAACAAATAGGCATCGTTTAATTTTTGACAAAAATGTTTACAACTCTAAATTTCCAAAATATGGAGTACTTAGTCATAAAAGTCCAACATCATGTACCAATTCTTCCTCCATGCATTAATATATGCTTATTATGTGTTTAGAACTTTTGAAGAATTTGGATATTAAGGGTCTGTTCATCCTCTTCAGTTTAATTTCAGTTCAGTTCAGCTCCAATAAGTTCAATTTAGTTCAGTTCAATTCCTAATTTCCTTCTCTCATAAACAATTCATTTCAGCTCTATTTAGTTCAGTTCAGCTCCAATCAGTTCAGTTCAGTTCAGCTCAGTTCAGTAAATCAGAACATGCCCTAAATAATGTAGTCAATTAAATGCATGGTTCATAACTCCCTATTATAACCGTAATTTGCGGTATTGTTCATGCAAAAGCAAAACTACAATTAGAATTATCCAAATAAATATATGGCATAATTGTTACAGAAAAAAAATGAAAGAAATACTATCTTTTTCCTTTAAAAAAGGAATGTACAATAATTTCTTCATTAGGACATTCGTTGTATAATAACTAACATTATTGGACTTTTTACCCAATTTATGTATTTTCGATAAAGTATTAACATTTGACCACATTATTTTACAGATATTTAAAAACAAATGATATGGAGTATCATGTAACTTTATATTCCATACATTCCAAAATAATTGACGCTACTCTACTAGGCATAGATGCCAACGTCGTAAGAGTTTGATCATTAATTTATGAAAATATTCATTGGTAAAAAATGTAAAACTTTAGATAATCTTTTAGAGATCAAAAGGTTTTGTACAGGATAAATAGTTAATTTTTGAAGGGTAATTTTTTTTTTTTTTTCTAGTTCATATTGATTTGTGGGATTCTGAAAGACGAATTATTGTGAGAAACATGCCATGATGCCAATTAGAAAAGTACATGATGTGAAAGTAGTTCAGTAACTCACCTGGAATACTTCTCTGCCTTCAATTTACACTTGGCTTCTTTTTGTTTTTTAACTAAATTGTAGAAGTCTTCTGATTCATCACACTATCTCCAGCATCATCTCCATTGCCAGTTATGCCACCCAAACTCTGACTCATTATCAAGTTCAGCAACATCACTATCTTTTGACTTGATTCCGGCTCTAGCAGAACCCGAAGTTGGTGTTTCCATCTCCTTTCTCCTAGATCATCTCTTTCAGGCAAGTTATCGTCACCAGATACACCCTTTCAAAAGTTGCAAGAAAATAACACTTAATAGTGAATGTTTTTCATCGACAGTACTTGAGCAGTCAGATTATACTGATAACTAACCATGAATGCTGCTATAAATTTCAACACATTGCAATCGACATATTGACACAGGGATTATTGAAAAAGTTAACGATGTAGCCTGTTTCCTCGTGATCAAAAGCAAAGGTATCAAGTATGACAGTAAATAGTATTGAGCCAATGAGCTTATTAATTAGTACAAGTTGACTACATACTCCTGTCCAGAAATAAGTCACATAGTCCCAAGACTCCCACCACCTCAAATTCAGCATATAAAAGAATTTTACTCAAAAAACCGTTATTACAGACTCGTAGTTTGACCATTCCCATAATCTCCTGGTCTCTGCATCACTCAATATAGGCAAGGATACATCCCTCATCCTACAGGCTATAGCTGGAAGGTGGCAATGGATCAGAAAATCATGATCAACAATCAGGACCTCTTCTCAACTAATCAAAATTTCCATGAGCAGTTGCTTAAAAACTTCAATTTACATCAAGACACAAAAAAATTTAGGGAAATTGCCCCGTATACCCCTGAAAACTTTCAAATGCACCATTTATAAAAGATAAGCACTAAATATCCTCATCATCTATCAAATGCTCAAATGCACCATTTGTAAAAGATAAGCACTAAATATCCTCATCATCTATCAAATGCACGTATCATTGACTTATCAAACTAAAGTCATGCCCGCACACCGACTCGCTTTTACTTAAGTTTACTTGATAATAAAATGTTTTAGCAACAATATAATAATTTAATAGAAATTGATGCTTAAGGGTCTCAATCTAACAAAATTAACATTTGTTAGGAGTCTAGGGGTATTCGGTGCATATTTTTTATTTACAAATCTCAGGGATACATGTGGTGCATTTTTCTAAACCTGAGGGTACACGGAACAATCGGCCAAGTTCCACTATTCTCAAACATCTGACAGGGAATGATCAGAATCCAATGGCCACCAGAACTGCCAAATCATGCTATTTAAGTTGTCAAAAAGTTAACGATGTTTACTAGAAAGAGTAAAGGCACAACTACTGTTACGAGTAGCACCCTCCAAAGCCATGACATCGTCATCATAATCATCAGTCGTTTCAAGCTTTCTGTTAATTCTACCAATCATACCACAACAAAATCATGTACATAAAAAAAGAAAGGTCTATCTTACATAGAAATTATGTGTGTTCATAATTGGCAAAACAGAATATACCCAGGAATTTTCTTTAGCTTCATATTCTTTCAATGTTGAGTGCGCAACTCAGAGAGAGGAGGAGGCACTAGGCAGGGCTTTGTTCATATGTTTTCTTTTTCCCTTATTTTCAGAGCAATTCAATAGATTGGAGCTAAATTAATAAAAGCCTTAACCTACCACAGTTATAAATGGGTCAAATCCGTCCAATAAATAATTGGGTCGGGTTTTTATATGATCGCTCATTTATGGATTCTTAATGAGGCTGGTCAGGGTTTATAATGATTTAGAACCTCTTTATATAGTATCAAACTAATACAAAGTATATATCAACTTCACCCATTTCAAATTACCAATATTAATAAATTTATAAATAACCTTAAATATATTAGTTATTATACTTCATCTATTCCAAATTACTCATTGTGACCTTTTTTTTATTACTATATATTCATGCATATCACTTTGACAAACCTTTTTTTGCCAATACTATATATGAAAACAAATATTAGGGTGTGTTCTCTTCACCTTACATAAAACTGTGAGTTTCAGGTTTAATAAGTTTAGATAAGTTTAATTAAGTTTTAATAAACCTCTAAGAGTTTAATCTGGTTTATGAGTTTCAATAAGTTCAATAAGCTATAAGAGTTTGATCTGGTCTATGAGTTTCAATAAGTTCAATAAGGCCTAATTAGTTCTAATAAGGCAATAAGCTCCCATAAGTTCAACCAGGTCTAATAAGTTCCAAAAAGTTTAATCTTAATATATTAAGTTAATTTTTTTTAATAAAAAGTATTAAATTTTGTATATCATATTAATTGTACCAATATAATTATTTTAGTATAACATTTAAAAAGTAAATCTTATATAGAAGTAATATATTTTACCCTATTCATCATAGTTAAAAATTAGATAGATTCGATTAGATGGTTTTGCATAATAATAGATTAATAATGAGCTTATCTGATCTAATATGAAATCATTTTTTTCTAAAATAAGAAAAAAATAAGTTGAACTGAACAAGGCCTAAATATTACAAGTACAAAGAATAAGTCACATACTTCGTACTAGTAACTAGTGTGTGAGGGTATGTGTATCTTGTTGGTGTTTTTTTGGCATTAAACTTCTGAGACTTTAGTTTAAGCAACAAAGCACAAAAAACTTGAAATAGCACTGAAACATCTGTGAGTGAAATTTTAACACGGTTATGGTCATCTACAAAACTGTGGAACATAAAAAAAATTCATAGATAATTCTGTTTAAAGGCCATTCTCTAATATAGGGTAATAGATGTACGGTGACCGGATGGCCAGAAAACCGAAGTCAAGTAACTACCCTGGAGTTTAACTACATCCACTGATCCACATTGTTCGGGTTTTAGGAGCGAAAATACAGAGTTTGTGCTCCCAAAATTACATACCCTGGAACTCAGATGATTCTATTTCTAACTGTACCAAAGACTTAATTCCAAAAGGGGGTTAATTCCTCTAATTTGATTATGGATAAGCCGAACCCTATGGTTTCAAGTTTCAACCGATACTATGAACAGACCACGGTAACAAAACCTTTCACTAGTATTCACTATTCACAACTTTTCAACTCTTCAGACTCTTTGCTGTGCTCTCAAGTTGAGCGGCATCAACTAGGGACTTATTTATAGCCGTACATTCGGGACTGTGTCCAAACACCAACAACGATACTTTGACCTTGACATCTCGAATAGTTCATCAGGTGTCAGCTTCTCAAGATCTTTCATTTTGCAACAATCAAACTCATTGGTAATAAATTCAGTAACCTGACTGGGTAAGCATGATCCCACGAAATCTTTGAGATGATCTTGGTCACGCATTCTCTTGTACAGCCTCATTACAGAGACACAGTCTTCGTACGGATCGTGTATTCCCATCTGAATATCATAGCTGCATTTACACAGTGAAGAATCAAATTCAGAACTAATTCAAAGAATGGTTAAAGTCTGCCAATTTACTCGACCCTTTCTCTCTGACACACATCAAACAGACAAACCAAAAGAGTAAAAGATAAAATAAACCATGCAATCAACGGATTCAACATTACATATATGGGCAGTGATAGTTACGAGGCGCACACAAGTGAGGTAGACATACCCAAGGTACATTTTTGTCAGATATTTGAGTGAGTGGCTGACCAAATTTGTTTTCATCAGCGGATGATATTTGGCAGTATCCCTGCAATATTATGAAATCAGAAAAGCCTTCCAAATTTCAAAACCAGGCAGGAGGAATTTAATATAAGAACCAGATGGAATAAGATCATAAACCTAAATTCAGAATCTGTATCTATTTGAAAGCACATTGTGCTGTGAGCTGCCTATTCAATAAAAAAACCAGGAAGAAAAAAGATGGGATTTTCATAAGAGAGCCTCACACCATAGCAGTACACCGCAATAAGAATCAAATGCAAGATCTAGAAAAAGCAATGACCACACTCGTGAAATATTACATTTTCATTGCTCTATTAGTTCACTTGATTTCAGATGCATCACATTTCACAACCCTCTACCATCAATCTACAAATTTATTTATGACAGGCATGACACATGGAATTGTATATATATCAGCCTCATCTTGGGCCTTGAAGCATGAGCTGATACCGGAGATTGAGAACATGTTTTTCTGATGACAAAAGACCTAAATGCATGGAACAGTGATATTCCTCTCATTTCTGTAGCTGTCGTTAACTACAAGGAAATGAAGGAAGCTATAGAGAAAATGTAGGACATAAAATTTGTTGTGAAGTATGTGAACTATGAATTATTGCGGAAATTTTCAGAATAGGACCTCAAATAGACTTAAACCCACATGAAGACCTGGTTTTAAGGTAGATGGAGCAAATAAGACCTTTCAAAGAGAATTCAGCAAGCACCCACATACGAAGTTAGACCACATCTAAACTACCAAAAGGAAAGATAATGCTAAAATCACCGAACTCCATATCAGATGTGCACATTTTCAGTCAAACTTCCATCAATATATGAAAAGAAACTTTTATGAAGATTACTCATTACTGGTGACTACAGGATAATTTGAGATTGAAACCATGGAAATTGGAAAGGTTGCACTATTTTCTCCAGCCATTGGGCAGAGGGGATATGGAAAATATGATATGTTTATGAAGAACTAAGGTAAGGGAAGGAGATCAGCCACACACACACACACACACACACACACACACACAAAAAAAAAAAGGAGGAAAGGTCAACTTGCCGGAAATTTGACTATTATGCTGAAAAGTAGAGAATTAAGGTGCTACTTGACAAACTCTAGGGCCTTAAAAGGTGTTCCAATTCCCCATATCAAAGCAAATGTATTTTCTCACAATATTTAAGTCTTAATATCCCTATATTTATCAACCCGTAATTGCATGCATTTAGGACAGAGATATGAAAAAGGCTAAAGGCCAAAACAGCAGTACTTAACAGCTGATTATGGCATATAACAATCAGAGTCTAACTTTCAACTTTCCAAGTTGGAGAGAAAGCTTGCAATCGAGTTTTCTAGGGTTCATTCATTTACACAATTACACAGGTAAATGAACCACTTAAGGTAAAAAGCAGCAAGACAATGGCGCAAACATAATAATCATACTTCCCCTATTTGGTAGAGAGCAATCATGGGCTTCATAGCATTGTAATATGCAATTTTTTGCAGTCCGTCATGAATTTACAAGAAACCACTCTCATTAAAATTGAGGGGGTATTAATTCATACATCTGACCCAACAGAACTCCAGTCATAATAATCAGAGCCTTGTAAGGTGCACTTGAGGCAATTTTTATAATGTGAAGGTACCTCATGAGTTGCCATATAGGATGCAAATGTAATTTGAGACTGACAAGAAAACTTACATTTCCAAGTTATTGTAGATTTAAATAGAAAAACATAATTCCTAAGAGGCTAAGGCCACCCCCGCAGGTATTAGTCAACAATAATTAAAGAACTCCAGAAGTGATAGCATCATTAAGCAAGTATAATGTTTTATTAAGTGATCACCAGCACACAAGTATAACATTTCAGAGAAAACAGAGCTACCTGATCAGGTGGTCTGGATAAGTCATATTCAAACAATCCAAATCATGCTCCAGAGAGTGACCCACAAGAAGCTTGGCCTTTCCACCATCAACTCTCACTATTCCTATGGACTCACCATTATATAGGATTTCCAGAATCTTTTCCTGCACTTCTTTCAAAGGCATTGCATCTCTTAGATGTTCTTCACTTAAGCCAGTCAAATCAGATCTGCAGCATTTTGCAAGGAATAGTCCGGTCAAAAAAATGTGTACAAACATGATCAAACCTGAGGTAAGAGTCTACCTGTAATCAGTAACAGGCATCTGAGGTTTTACATAAGCATGAAATATTATATCCTCGTTCTCATCAATAAGGCAAACCCTACCACATAAATTAAGAGTTCCATCACTACCACCTCCAACCATTTCACAGTCCATCGCAACTGCTTCATGAATCTTCGGGACACCATTGCTTCTGTCAGAAATCGAGTTTTTCAGTTCCATAGAAGGCAATGATATTGTACCCTGAAGTCATTGACCAAACTTGTATATTACAGAAATGCATTACACAAAACTTATACAATGGAAATTGTTAAAAAAGAACTTGTAATCAAAGATTGACTTACAAGGCGAGTAGGTGGAGGTAGCTGACAAGTCCATTTATGCTCACTTAACAAAATGCAGCTGTCAAATATTTTCATGCAAAGACCACATCCCAGTTCATGAAAGATTCTACTGCAATTGTCTTTTGCCAACAAACCTGAAGGGTTGGTCAAAGAAATGCTAAAAAAACCAACTTAACGGAATTTAAGGGAAACTAATTTTAAGATTTCCTGTCACTCACTCACCTTTTGAATGCTCCCTGAGAGATTCAAATGATCTGCAGTGTTTCTTACATACTCCACATTTAGGTTGGTGCACCGAGTGGTATGAGACCTTCATGTGCTCCACAAGATGCTCTTTTTTGTTATATTGCTTATAGCAAGCTGAGCATTTATGCCTGTTTTTAGAGAAGAGAGCAACAAATCACACATATTAGCCAAAGTAATGTCAGGAGATTTAGCAGATCAGCAAAGCACATTCCGGAGGAAGGACGAGAATTTTCTTTTGGAATAATAAAAAGTTTTAATTCAGCACTAAATCAACCACCCTCAATCTTCCCCAACTCTTAGCAAGACAAACTAAGCACCTGAATTCCAGCTAGACAAGTTGACCAAGGCCTGACCCGTAAAATATAATCCAAGGGGCGACCACAACAGAGCGAAACTGCATTTTAACAAATCATCATTGATCATCCCCCTTTTCCTCCCTTAAGATACTAGCAATTTTCACTCTTCAAAATGCACTAGCCACCTGCCGATATGACTCTGTAAATTGAAACTGTGCCAAGCTAATTATGCTACTATGCGACCCACATTTGAGCAAACAGTACAAGGAATTCTCCAATCTCCTCCCAGGCTCCCACTACTTTTGCGATGAAATTCAAGTTCCAACTGAACGTGTTGGATAATTACGGACTTTAATGGATTTTTGCCATGTTTAGAATGTCCTAACTTGGAGTTGGTTAAGTTGCATGAAAATGGAATATGAAGACATTAAAGAGGCATTTCAGATCATTGCACCTCCGCACCACACCACGCCTGCCAAGAAAACTACTCAAGAAACCAATAAACATAGTGAAAAGAAAATGAGATCCAAAGAGGTCACCTTCAATCAAGCCCTTCCTAGCCCCAAACCATCACATGGAATCGACTTCCACTAAGATTATCAAACAAGTAGAATACAACCCTAAATCCACTTCTTCCACCTCAACTATAGACCTAAGTAACTCTATCACCTCACTCAAAAAACCTCATTTCATCCAATTGCGCCGGCCTTCCCTTGAGCTAGCTTGAAGACAACAATATTACAACTCCTCCATCTAGCTTCATCAACTGAGAATCATCTAAACTCATAATCTAAAATTCCTCGATAAACATTTATCATCAAAATGTTGAAGCTTAAAACTTAGAAGCCTATTCCTCGGGAATTAAGTCAAACTATTCACCCACAAACCAATTACATATAGGAATATTACAGCAATTCCCTTTTACCAATGTCCCTAATAGGCTAATACAACTCCTTAAACACAACCAAAATTAGGAAAAATCAAACACATTAAGACCCTTTGAAAGATATGGCATACAAATTATGTTACATAAAATGCACGCACAAAGTACAGCATTTAAATGAAAATAACATCCACCCTTTTTTTCAGGGATTTTTAATGTATTACTGTACACTAAATATAAGTACCAAAAATTCGCAAATTTGATAATAAAAAACACATGCAATTTCACAATGAGAGAAATTTTCAACCAAGCAAAAATTCAGCATGTATAAATTCCTCATTAATAATTACAAATATTTACCACGAAATATTTTCAATTTTTCAACACACCCAGAAAAGTACACTCATTTCAATAAGTCTTTGCAAATTATTACACAGCCCTAAAGATGGAATCTTTATAACTGAAACAAATAACCCATTTCACAAATTACCACAAAAGTGTAAAAAACTAAATAAATTTCTCAATATTTTACAAAGGCAACATTGATAAATCTTACAAAAATCTCAGTAAATACAAAGAAAGTGGGGGAAGAAAGAGAGAAAAAGAAAGGAGGAACCTGGTTTTGACAGACTTAGGAGGATTAGTCTCAGAATCCATGAAAAATGAGAGTTTTTGATTGAAAAGAGAAGCAGCAACAATGGCGGGAAAGAAGAAAGGAAAGAGCCAGAAAGACCTGATCGCAATATCCGGAGTTTATAAGAGTAAGCAGTGTTCATATGTTGTGGGCGGTGGTAGGGTAAGTTTGTGGGTACTTGGACACTTGGTAGTGGATGTTGATTGTTCCATCACTTAAGCTTTAAATTAAATATCAAAAATCAAAATTAAGGCATAAGTTTCGTTAAATTGAATTACCCTAATCCAATAGTCACATGAATTTATACAACTTCTAAATACGAGTGTACGAGTTACAATTAAAGATATCTCGTACTCTTATATTTTAATTTTAGGGTATAATCATACAAGTGTACCTTACAATCAAACTTGCTTCGTACTCGTAGCATCTTAGCTTATAATCAAACTCGCTTACCTTTTGAGGTAAGTTATCATGCCTTTATTTCTCCTTTTTTCTTAGAGTTCATTTAATTCGGCGGCTCAGCGAAGTCGTTAGAAATGGAGGTTAGTGTCAATGGAGATGAAGAAAATGAAGGTGTCGACATCGATGTTGGAAATGGTGATGTTGGAAGAAGATGAAAGTTGGAGGGGGTGAAATAAGATGAAAGCGGAGGAGATAAAAGAAGATGAATGGTGATGTCGAGATTGAAGGAAGAAGGGAGAATGACAAAAATAGCACACCTTTTATCAAAAATGACCAATTTACTGTTTATCCCAATGTTTATCAAGGTGATAAACCTAGTTTTTCTCACCATTGCCCCACCGGCCACGGTACATACAATCAATTGTGCCATGAACATATTGGATGCGTGACCAAACTTGTTCCTTTTCATTTCACATGTAAGACATCTAATGCAGCCATAATTTCTAGAGTTAAAAGGGGATGTATTAGATTTTTTTTTTCTTAATAACATACACTATTTTTTAGTACGCAGTATATTTTTAACCATATTTTTGTACTATATGAAAACGATATTTTTTTAAAAAAATGACAACTTTAAATAATTTTTTTTTACTTATATCGGTACAAGCACTATTTTTGACGCAAAAAAATTTCATCCAAAAAATTTACAACTGACAACACAAAAGCAGACATTTCAGCAACTCAAAAGAACACAGCAGCAATAGACAGCACCAGGAGCACAGCAGACTGCAGCAATATTATGAGCTTCAGCAGTAGAGGAAAGAGCTTCACCGATGCAAGAGCACAGTATGCTATGAGAGGAGGGTAATAAACTAATAAACAAGTCCGATCAATCCTATTTTCTTAGATTCCAAACTGTGAAGCCTAAGAACAGTGGACTTGTAAACTTGAATTAGCAAACCACCTGAGTAAAGAATCTAGCTTCTTTAAAGAGAGAATTTTGAAAAATCATATTGTCATCCCTGCTCATGTCATTCTCTGTAACAACCTGCAGCAGCGGCTTTATTAGAAGTGACAGCAGCAGTTACATATTGCGTAAAATAGTGATGTTTAAACCTTGGGAAACATTTTAGTGTATGATTCATAAGAAAATATTATATATGCATACCATCTCAATCAGATACTAGTATCCATGATAAATAGGTGACAGCCCAAGATTTATTTTGATAATAATTAGGGTTGATTTGTTTGATTGTTTCCTCTAATCACTTGGTAAAACTGTAAAATAAAAACAGATTTTAAGTGAAAATTGAACACTCTAGTCATTGAGTAATGGATCTATTCTACCCTAGGGAGAACAAGCATCAAAGCAATTGCCGGAAACCACCCTTTTAAAGTTTTCTTACAGCCTGAAATTTCCTGAGCAGCCTACCTACAATGATCTTATACCAATGAAATCACACTAATATGCAATCTTACAAAAAACGATCATCCTTTTGAAACCCTGGTAATACTAGGGCTACAGGCAAACTTTAAAGTTATATCCCCTTCTCATTTCACAGACATATACACATGCACACACACACACACTAAGAAAAGAAGTACCTTTTCTGGGGGTTGTCAACGCGTTATGGGTAAAGTTAAACTAAGTAAACACAACTATCCAAATGGTCTGCTTTAAATAAGATTGGGAAGACCTTAATTAAGGGTGTGTCAGACCAAAACCCAAGACACAGGAATCTATTAAAGAAGGGAGCTTAGCTGTTTGTTTGTGTGCCTAAGAGAATGGGAAGGGGTATAGTAGTTTCTAAATCATTGGAAATGTTGAGGCAGTAGGATCGAGCCCCCAATTCCTGTGGACGCCTTCAAGTTTAGTTTTTGGAAGCAATATTCATCTCAAGGACAAAATCATAGAATAACAGACATCTATTGCTCATTATAGAAGACATGAGTAATACATACAAAAAACCAACTTGTGGATAGTTTTAAATTCATAAAAATAAGAGACTTTAAATTCTGAAACATTGTCACTAATAGTACTACGTAGTTGTAGTTTCAGTAGTAGTACCTTCAGTGAAAAGCCCCCCTTTTCTTTTTCTCCTCAATATCAGTGAAAAGCCCCCCTTTTCTTTTTCTCCTCAATATCAGTTGATTCTTTGTAGATGATTTTCCTCCCAAGCACACGTATCGTCCATAGTTTTTCCTACAAAGTACCAAAATAACAGCAACAAACAAATAGTAATTATTAAATCAGCAAAATTTAGAGAAAAAAACATAAGCAAAGAAAATAAGGAATTCTAAAAATAGGAAGGTGCCTAGAGCCCTAGACGGTCAAGCTCATTTGTCGAGCTCAAAAAAGCCAGCAAAGAAGTCTTAGCTTTATAGCCCAATTAAATAACAAGAGTAGGCAACAGTGATGAGATTATATAGCTCAATATATACTATCAAACCAAAACTAATCAAAATCATTGAATTGATGCATAACATTGGAAAACCCAACTCGTTTCATAATTATCTACATTGCATAATTATCACATTCATAATTAGCTATATTGAGCTAAAAATACTTTGTATAATTATCACATTCATTAATTAGCTACATTGCATAATTATCACATTCATTATTTTTACTTTGTATAACATTTGGAAAAAATAGAAACAAAATCATGAATCAACCAATCTAAATTGAGCTAAAAATTATTTCATAATGCATATATATATTTATGAAAATCAAGAAAATTCCTTATATTCAAAGCTTTACCAAGAGCTACAAAAACCAAAATCAAACACAAACCTAAACATGAAGAGTGGATCTTTTATATATTGCTAGATATGTAGTGGTGTCTGAAATACGTAGTACTAAGGTTATATTCTTAGGAATTGCTTTTTTCTGTTAATTTTTAAGTTAACTTGTATAAATTGAACAGATTGAATCTACAAAATTTGACAAGGAAAGCAGATGATCATTCTTCCTCCATGATAGATAAATCCTCAGCTCAGGTATATTAGTATCTTATGGATTCCAATCTGGATGATTGAGTTTCAGGCATCAAAAAATAAAGTATTTTCTTGATGGAGCATTATGACTCATCTTACCCATATCAAATACAAAGCATCTATTTTATGAACAGCTATCATATGCACAATTTATAATATGCAATTTGACGTGTATTATGTCAAGATTTGGATGGCTTCTGTTGTGCATTTAACCCCTTCTGCGGTTAACATTTTATTGGCATGCGCGATGAAGATGATATCTGTTTTAATAAGGTAATAACAATGTGCTTCATTCTGTCAACCTGTCAACAAACACAAGTCACAAATGCTACTGATCATTGTTGAGTTATCTTAGTATACAGTTCATGCACGCTCTAATTACTAGTAGTTCTTGTATCACCTAATATGCATGGTTCATGTACAAATGTCAGCTTGTTATAATGGAAAACGTTAATTTTTGATGTCGACGGGAAAATGGAGGAGCAGAGTCAACTAACAAGAAAACAGCCAAGACGCTAGACAGGGATAAAAAGGTGAAGATGGAGACAGAGTCACATAACATACAAAACATGTTTACTAGAATGACGAAAAACAGAACAAAGAAAACTGAATAGAAGATCAAAATTTATAACTATTCTTAGGCATTTTAATGACAATTTTCATGAGCTTCTGTTCAATCAAAATTCTGGAACCTAACCAAACTTGTGATATCTTACAGAATGTGGAACATACAGTGACAGTCCATTAATGTGTATCTTCTGATTTCTTTATCTTCTCTTTCTTTCATTGAAGTCCCTAATCTTTCTTCTTATTATTCCCCTGACATATCTTTTGTCATAGGTCTTAGTTATATGAATATGTGATCAACTCTTGGAGTTTGAACGTCAATTTAAAAAGTCTATATCAGATAGATATATTGCTAGATATGAAACCAGGTCTATACTAGTCCAAGTGAACTCAACATATTAGTCCCCAATAAAGCAATATCAGCACTCCTCAGTCCTCACTAACTCTTTTAATGAATATGGCTTAAAAGAACAAAATCAGAGTCTAACAAACAAAATGAAAGAAAAGGAGCAAAGCTTTAAACAAACAAGGTACCACAGCTCTAGGCACTAGCCTTTCATGGCAATTGACACAGCCTCAGTAAATAATTTAACACCAGAAAAAACCAGTCACTTTAAACATCTGTATAAAAAAAAAATTGCATTTCCACAAAACAATTGAAATAAAATTGCAATTTAAAATCTAAAAAATTAAGACCCTAAAACATAAACAAATTAAACAAATAAAAAGGACAAAAGATAAGTAAATCTATATACCCCTAAAAGGCTAAAACGAATTCTGATTTTTGGTTTGAAATTGACTCGAATCCGTTGCAGTAGGAGACGCCTATCAGATTCTTGAATCATTGCACAAAAACCCTGAGATATGTATATCTCAGTTATTCATTAGGCACAACTCAGTGAATCACCAAAAAGAATTTTTTTATTGAGCAATCAACATTAATATCAAATTACAAATAATAGGCAGGCATAAAATGATGATCATCCAACAATGGCTCATATTTGATCAAGAATTGCATGTAAATGCTCCGTCAAGGCATCAAAACTCCTCATCACTTCTACCATATTCTATCCTATTAAAAATTAGGCTCTTGGTCTTGAGAGTTCCCAAAGTCGAATTCTCTGCAAAACCTCCTTGAAATGCAGACAAACTGTCATGAATGATCAGGCCTCTCTTGAGAAGTTGAGATGCAAGTTTACAAGTTATGAAGCAAAACCAGCTGGTACAATTGGAGGGACAAAACTGTGACCTTTGAGTGTTTGCTCAA